TGACATAATTTGTTTGGCGAATTTGTTGCATGAAATCAAGTGCCCATCGTCAATGACGATGTCAACGATATGGCCCAATGGGATAGGATACCACTCGTCCTACTGACTGACGGTCTTCAGAGTTCCACAAAGCATAACATAGTCTTTTCAAGCAATCCAAGGAAGAATAAGGCTGAACAGTAGAAAAGAATAGGTAAGATGCACGAGTTGACAAACTGTAAGAGCAGGAGAAGGGATTGGTTGAGTTATGCCTGAGTGCTTCGACTTCTTAATGTAAAAAGTCAGATGAAATATTCTTTTAGAAATCTCTAAGACATCTGAAGACCTAGATAGGTCAGAAGAATGAATTAATACAAGATACTTAACTTCAGACTTGATTCTTATATCACAAACACCAATTTTCCAACGATCATGGGAACAAACAGCTTCATTTACATCGTTTACATCGGAAACTGAAATTAACAGTCTGGCATCTGGAAGGATTTAGTTTAAGGCCGTTACACGAAGACCATTTGCTAATTCCTGATAGAAAGCTGTTCATCTTAGCACAGTCAAGCTGGGAGTAAACAGACGTTGAAATAGTTAGGTCATCGGCATACTTAACAAAGTTCATTTCGTCAGATTGAGGCAAATCATGCAAAAAGAAAGAAAACAGAAAAGGAGAAATGACACCAGCCTCAGTAAGCGAAGAAGTGGACGACTTTCCCTGACATACGGTGTACTGCTTTCTTCCTGCGAAATAAGAATGCAGCCATTTGACAACCCAACAGTCAGTGTGAGTTTCGGCCAGCTTGTTTAACAAAATGTCCCTAGGTACTGAGTAGAAAGCAGATGCGTAATCTAGGAAGGTGCAGTGAACAAATTTAGCCCCCTTGTCTAAGCTGGAGACGATGTTGTGGTACAAGACTGCAACTGCATTTAAAGTACTTCTTCTGTGTTTATCTCTATCTATGACCTAGTGATCATTGGGTACAGTCGGCATTCAGAAGCTTATCTGGTTTCTAGAAATATCGGTACTTTTACAGTCCATCACGACGTGTTCAGAATCTCAGTGACATCAACATTTCAAAAAACAGAAAATCATGCAAATTCCCTCACTCCTCAATGAGATTGCTTGATCGATTTTTACTGATGTATTTCAGAGACAAATGGTGTCTATTGACAGTTTTGTGTCACTGTAGTTATTCCGTCATCGTCGAATTGCAGTGATCCATCCAAATGTCATTTCATATGATCATTCTAGAGTTCCTTCTGCTTCTCCTCTCTAATATTTAGTTTCTTTTCATTATCTCCAACTACATTCATCCGAGGTGATCTCCTCTTGGATAGCAATCTGTCTATCCATACAGTGTCTTGAGATCTCTTCTGTCGACTGCGAGATTTACTTTACTTCTTATAGAGTCAGGGAATCGTCCTTATTTTAATTTCCAACATTCTGCCCTACTCGTTTGTTCAGCGTGCCTCAGACTATAATGAGCTTCTGCTATCATTGTTCATCTCTCCATTGATTCATTATCGTTTCCACCATCCTCATCTTCACTGTCATATTCAAAGGCATTCCTTGTCTGACCTCTCCTTGTTTCATTTGTTGTATATTTATCTTCCCTTTCACATCCGTTCAGGGTTTCTCAAGGATGTTTCAAATTTTTTTCATCTATTCTCCTGACAAATTTACTTTTGTCCCTATTAGATCTCTACTTTGAATGCTTCTATTTGTGGTTGTAAGATACACCGTTAATGTGTTGTTTTACGATGTGATTTAGCCTGAGTGAATCGGGGTGATCGTGATTTTGGACAGTCTTTGGGAAATATTGGTGTGTGAGATTCTTATGGTGGATAGTGTTTCGATGTCACACTTCACCACTTCACCTATATTGAACATGCTGAACTCTCCTTTCATTCTTCAAGAAAATGACTCTCTGAGATCCTTGATTCAGTAAGGTCAGTAGTCTTTGGGACACTTTGACTTCATCATTTGCGTTGATGGAATTAATGTGACCGGTAAGCATTAGATAATTTCATTAGATACAATTGGTGGATGATGGCTAGCAGTGGAATCCAGGATGAGCATTTCGCCCTATTCGGGACTCGTCAGATGGATGTACCTGCATTTCTCAGTGAGTGATGATGTTCCCACCGAGGCTCGAACCCAGTGCCCATAGTTTCAAACACCAAAGCGTTATGCACTAGACCACTTGGGCCACGAGAGCCACCTCTTGTGCGACGGGTCATATTAATTATTGAATTGAATTTTTGATTTCCCCGTCGATCGATTGGATCGAAGTGCTTGGTCTCAGGTTGACATGTCGGCTTCTTGTGCAGATGCTTCGACGATGTCTGGGTATTTAATTAGTTTACAATTGGTGGATGGTGGCTAGCAGGGGAATCCAGGATGCGAATTTCATCCTATTTGGGATTCCACTGCTAGCCACCATCCACCAATTGTATACTAATTAAATGCCCAGACATCGTCGAGGCATCTGCACAAGAAGCCGACATGTCAACCTGAGACCGAGCACTTCGGTCCAATCAATCGACGGGAAAATCAAAAATTCAATTCAATAATTTCATTAGATGCTTGCCCCTTATTTACAAATGTTTCATTAGTGGAAACATCTTGTTATCTATGTGATTACATCTACCTAGAATGTATAATATTGAGAGTGTCGACTAGCTGTCCTAAGCAGCTTTTATTGAGATGTATGCTTAGTGTGTATTTAAGATTTTTCGGTGTCATCTATAACCGAAGGGATGCAGTCACCATTAGGACATCTCCAAGAGGATGTTTCAAGGGTGAGCTTGAAGAGGGGACCATTGAAAGAAACAATCTTCAGTCTGCATGCGTATATGCGATATACTGATGACACCTTGACTACTTGTGATGGAAATTGTTCAACTGCCGAGCTTCTGGGAAAATTTAATGCTTCTCACTCATCTATGCATTTCACTGTCGAGGAAGAGTCGAACTCCGCATTTCACTTTTTAGATGTGATGGTAGACAGAAGAGAGGATGTCACGTTAAAAATGTTGACTTGCCGAGGCACAACATTTACATGTCAGTACATTAAGTTCAACAGTTGGCTACTTCTAGGCAGTTCTCTATGTTCCAGAATTCGTAAAATTCGCTCTGTAGATAAAGTCGAAATAGCATTAGAAAGCCTCTGCACAACTCTCTTAGATGATGGATATCCTAGAACGCTTATTGACAGAAACATCAAGAAAGTGACCCTCCACAGCGAAATCACAATGCCAAAGAAAACACCGTTCATGAGTTTGGCTTTCAAAGGTGACATCATTTCTCAAGTAATTAAAAGTCTTTTATCTAAATGTGCAAAACCGTCTTTTAATGCAGCTGGATTACACTGAGTATTCGCCAGCCGAAATATGATTCAAAAATGCGTTAATGATAAACTACCCGTCACTATTTGTATTTACTCATTCACATACTGCTATGGAGCTTATTACGTAGAACGTTGTAGGCGTAATCTCCGTAGACGCATTGCTGAACGTCATCCGGCTTGGTTAATTAAAGGTGAGCAAAGAGCGACAATGTCTTCAATCTGTGAACACCTACTGGATTCAAGTCATTCAGCCCCACATGATTTATCCCTTCCAGTAATCTACAGGGTTAATCTGAATTACTCTAAAAGCTCACATTTTCTCCATTTATGCATAGCGGAAGCTCTAGCTGTACATGGACGTAAAACTGAGTTATATATCCGAAAACGTTTTGTACAAAATCCTTTCTTTACCTTGGTCATGGTAATGTTCTTGCATCTTATTGTATTTTACCACCTGCATACATTCCAATTTACTTCATCTTTGCCGTCTTTATTGTTATCATCATCGTACTCCTTATTTTTCAGGCGACATCTAACGCACGATTTTAAAATCTCTATGCCAGTCCACTTGTATATTAATCTTTAAAAGTTTTGTAGTTCAACCACTTCAACACCACCCTCTCTCAGTGGATCATCTAAATAATCTTTATTCTTACCATATGTCCAATATTCACTGAGCAATTTCTAGTGCCACTTAATACCGTTCTCCGTAATAAAATTACCACTGTACAGCTTGAGAATGAAGTTGTTAAAAAGAGATATTTCTTCGCTAATCAAAAAAGACTTTGTTTTTCTTGTATGGAGGATTTCACCATGAGCTGACATCAGTTAGACGACCACTGGAAAACCTGGGAATACTGGACAGCTGTTTCGTCCTAATTTGAGACTCTTCATCAGTACGCACCCACTGGGGTTCGAACCCAGGACCTTCTGGTTACAAGGCGAGCCCGCAGACCATTGAGTCACTGGGATTCGAGTTCGCCTTGTAACCAGAAGGTCCTTGGTTCGAACCCAGGTGGGTGCGTACTGCTGAAGAGTCCGACACTAGGTCGAAACAGCTGTCCAGTACTCCCAGGTTTTCCAGTGGTTCTCTAACTGATGTCAGCTCATGATGTCAGCGCCTTTATACAATCAAACAAAAATCCCTACAAAACCAATACTTTGTTTTTCCTTATGAATTAATGGGTATATTTCTCGACTGGAATCAGCGCCTGACATCTGATCACTTATTCAATTTTCAATAGTGTGTAATCGCGTTTTAAGATGCCTTGACCTATTTTTTGACCGTGTTATACGTGATCACCGTATTCAAAGACATTGACTTACTTGTATTCGAATTGAAGTCGGGGACGCGTGAGCATGTTTGCCATTGGAACAACAGATTCGATCACATCTACCATATAACTCATGTGTGTGAATGACACAACGGACAGCTTGTGCCATGAAAATGCTCTTCCCTCTCAGAAGTATCTAACGGACACTCTACTGAACAGACTCAGTCTGATAACAGCCCCCCTAGTGACAAATATCGCATTACCACATTCTCAACGACGACACAACCCACCACAAAATCTCATCTCCTCACAAACTCAAATATTGACCATACTCGGTTACAATCAGAAGTTGAAGGAAGTTTGAATTAATGAAGAGGAAGCGGTGTAGCAGAAAAAGTGATTTATTTAATTTATTTAATTAAAAATAAAATCAATATTTACGAAAGCTTCTACAATCTTCATGTATTCAGCATTACGTCAACTCTAATATTGATCCTGGTACTTGTTCTCCATTTCCTGTTGGAGAATGAAATCAGTAAGCGATGTCGTTGAGTAAAATATTAGTGGTGAAATAATCAAGAAACATATGTGCTCCGTAGAGGAGGATGGCTGTTGGTCAACTGTGTGCTTATTCACAGAATCCGTGAATCTGGAATATTTTCAGGGAATGGCAACTTCCATTTTGAACACTACTCATGGTGCTTTCATCATTCGATTGAACACGAGTATTCTGTACCGTAATTTGAACCACTGAAAAACCTGGAAATACTGGATAGCTGTTTCGTGCTATTTTGGGACTCCTCAGCAGTACGCACACACCACAAGGGTTCGAACTCAGGACCTTCTGGTTACAAGGCAAGCTTGTAGACCATTGAGCCACTGGGATCCGATCCAATGGTTCTTGAATTCTAACTTCTACCAATTCACAACATAGCGCGACCACTTCACAATGTCTTCTTCTATGAGTTACTGCCCCATCTTCGACGTGCTGTACCCTGCTGGTCACGGCTTCCCACTAGAACCCCAAGTTAACTGCCTGAATAGGTCCAGGACCCCACAACAACAACAAACTAGCTAGAGAAGCAAGCAACCAGCGGAGATAGGACTCCAGGTGGGCATAGAGAAGACAGAGGGGATGAAGGTAACCAATGAACCACCACAAAAACAACCAGCAACAATCACCATTAACGATAGAGATTGGACAGAGGTCACTTCCTTCACATATCTGGCCAGGAAGCATGCTTTCAGCCACAGGCACACATTACGGATGAAGATTTCAAAGCCAGTCAGGATCGAAGATGCAGGATCCGCCTTTATCAATCTGAAACCAGTTTGGAAATATTCAGCAATAACTCAGCCGGTATAAAAAAAACAAGATTCGTATCTTCAACACAAATGTAAAGTCGGTCCTTCTATACGAGTCAGAAACTTGGCAAACGTTTCACCAAAACAATTTTCAATAAGCTACAAACTTTTATCAACAGCTGCTCACTTCGCTGTCTCCATAATGAAAATCAACTGGGGCCAGGAAGAATTAGGAACAAGAAATTCTGGCTGGCTGGAAACAAACCAACCAAAAACCGACCGCTCAACAAATATGCAGGAGAAAATTGAGATAGATAAGGCGTACATTGAGGAAACCGTCAAATGACATCACGCGCAATGCAGGCCATTGATCGAGTGGAATCCAAATTGGAAGTGAGGAGTGAGTTGTCTGTCGGTGATAGGGTGACAGTCGACGGTGAAAAAAAACATTAGCTAACTGTTGCCATGAATATCTGCATTCTGTGTTTGGCTTTCCTCACACATCATCCTCCACTCTCAAACTTCATGCACTTCAAAGTTGAGTCGCCACCGGATTAACAAAATTTCGAATAATAAAATGTAGAAATACAATGCAAAATAAATCTCACTTGTCAACACCTTCAATAGGGTTTTGTATAGGTTGATATAAACTAGAAATGATAAAACAGGTTGGGAAATATTTGAATTGACTAGTAAAAGTGACTGTTATTTATCATTGCATTTGTCTGATAACTAAAATTAGATAAACAGTGAATATTCTTGAAGTCGCCCCACTGACTTTACACTGTTTTTGTATAGAAATTTCCGATTTTCGATTTTGATTATACAGAGAAAATGAACTCACAACTATGAACACCAATCCAGTGTTTCAAGGTGAATACTCGGTTTATGTCTTCATTCAACTGATCCAGATCTAAAATAATTCATGAACAAATATCCAGCAGAATGGATTTCTCAGAAAAAATAAATGACATTTGAACAGGAAATTACATGACATGAAATGACGCAAAATAATCTGTTTCACACACACACACAGATTTGAATACTTGACTACTCTAAAATATCATCCACTTGCATGATACTAATATTCCCCAAGTTCAAACTGCAGCGATTATATCACTATATTAGTACTAATTCAGTTTCACGTTCACCAGATTGTCTTCGATTGTATGTTTCTATTCATAATCACATCACCTGGATACTTCATTTGTAGACGACTGACCACACCCTGAAGACTAAACTTGTTCATCCTGTTTCACATATTGTTACCTGACTCATGAAAAATACTCATCGTAGACTATCGTACGGCGAGAGGTGGATGTTGATGAATTCATATCATGATGAAGGTATTGTGTTATGTGGAAATATGCTTTCGTTATAGGTGTACGTGAAAAATAGAAACAAGCGTATACCTTCTTTATTCACTGAAGGTGGATTTTCGAGACATCTGTCTACGGGGAACTGCTTCTTCTTTTCTATTTATAGGCGAGAAAGAGTAGAAAAGCGCTTTGATTATTAGCCAAAATTTATAATAGATATGTGGAGACTGGAATTTCAAAATTCGTTACTCCACGGAAAGACCGATTAGCACGATAAAATGCGACTTACCCTGATATGTTGAGACTTTTTGTTCAACACACTTCATTGTAGTGCTTAATTTCTCGTTATGCTCTGTGAATAAATTAGTTTCACAAGTATTAATTAATCCATGTCTATTGTTTTCGGTGTAATATGGATACACATTTACGCATGTTAAACTGAAACATAACCACAATTTTGACGAGTAAAATATGCTTACTAGTTGACAGATTGTCAACGAATATTCAAAGTGAGGAAAACGACAGTCATACACCTGTCGTCAATTCCCCTCCTCGCCTTCATTTCCGGTGCATGAGAAAATTCCCCATCTTTATTTAACGTTAGCCAATAAAAGGCAGGATTGAAATAATAACAACTGAGATGTTGACGCGTGGATATAAGCCAGGTGAGGAGGGTTAACCAGAATATTGACGAGAACTAGTTATGATGGCAAATTAGTACACTGTGCGTTGGTGGCGCAGTGGTTAGGACTCTCGCCTACCATGCACATGGTTCGGGGTTCGATCCCCTGCCTATGTACACCTGGTATCTATGCCAACAATATACCAACAATACGGTGTGGAATCAAGCTATAATCAGAAATCTAATAGAAAAAAATAAATAAAAATACAAATGACTCGAAATGTTTAGCTTACCAGTTTCCAGACGACTTATGATCCCTAGGAAAGATGGACAGTGATTAGTATATAAAGCAGCTCTGATCAAATTTTGGTCAAGAGAATTGTGAATGTTCATCACGCAGCAGTCAAATAGGCGTTAATTATTGATGAAATGGTTAGTGAGAAAGCTAATCATCAACTGTGAGTGTATCATGAAATTTACTTTTCATTTATAAACTGGAATCAAAATGTGATGAAAAAATTTCGTGAATAAAATTATATTTAGAATGAAAGGAATTTCGTAGAACGCACTGTGAAATGCTGTCTCTCCCCACTTGTATTTGTATGCAGTTTCCAGGCAGTCAATATCTAAAATAGATTGTCCATCATTTCAATAAACTCGACTTGCTTACACTTTTCTATTTCTGCTTGTAAGTTTTCATTTTGTTTAAGAATCTTGTCTAGGAAAACAGAAAAGCGAAAGGATTGAATGTCTACAAGTTGTGGAAACGTGAATATCAATTCTTGAAATATTCCCAATATTAATATTAGAACAAGACATATAAGCGAACAATATTGTCGTTCGCAATTAGATCTTCTTCAGGCTTTACTCTAATTTACATAGATTTATACACAAAAATTCTAATGAATGACGGTGATTTTGTGGATCAAAATAATATTTCTAGTAATAATAATACTAATATTAATGTGTTAAATATTTTGAACCTAGTTAATCACGATGATTGTAATGATAACAAAATAATGATGATAATAAGGTTTTGCAGGTGGAGACAAGAATAACGAAGGTGGTGAGTACTATGTGTATATGTAGACAATTCAATAAATAAATAAATAAGGTCAAATCTTAAAAGGTGGAGTGGACATATAATCAGAGTTTAAATAAATATCATAAAAATACGAAGGAAATGCGAAATAAGAAAGGGTGGGACGGTTTTGAATAGAATTCACCAAGGCCAAGCAAGGGAGAGACAAAGGTAGAACAAACTTCTTTTGTTATATGCAAAGACTAGGATTGTTCTCTCGAATTCCCATAGCTTCAGCTAAGTGTAGAAGACGGGTTCTGATTCCGTTCGAAAGACTCGATGGAATGCGATAGATAACTTTGAAGGCTCTACTCCTGTCCACTTGGTGACTGGTATCAATCAAATGAGCCAAAATAGAACTTTATGTGGATTTTGTTTGACCTTTTCCGAACCATGGAGGAAGATGCTCATTAATACGTTTATTAAGCTGTCTAGTTGTTCGCCCTATATAGCCAGATTTCTCTGCAGGAGCACCAGAATTTGTAGAAACACATAGAAATGGCACAGCTAAGTAGCTTATCTTCCTAATGAGCAGTCATAATTGGTTGGCAGCTGGAAAATGACGAAGAAAGGGTGGTGGCAGTATAAGTCCGTTTTACTGCTCTTAGATATAAGACTTCACTAGCCACATCCCCATTAAATTTCAATTTCATGAAAAGATTCTCCTCCTTAACTGTTGTCAGTTTCTCTTTGTTGTACCTGGTGTTCATGTGTCTCCTTACAAATCTACTAGGATAACTAATTTGGATCAGCGTATTTTGGACATATCCTAACACATTTTCTATGAAGTCATTTGTACAGGTCTGTCTTGCTCTATCCGTGAGGCAGATGGCCAAATTGATTTTATATCGAATTGGTACAAAATTGAGGAAATGTGCTTATTGTCCTAGAGATGTAGGTTTTCTGTAGATATCTTTCTTGAGTGAACCATCTTCTCTTCTGTTCGATCGGACATCAAGGAAGTGTAGTCCACAATCATATTCTTCTTGACAAGTGAAGAGTGCTGGAAGTGTATCATTAAATTTTGTTGACATTTTATTCTATTCAGCTTCCACACCAACAATAATAAACTTATCACCAACATAATGAAAATAAGAATCTATTTCGTTTCCTTTACTTCTTTCACTGGATCATTTTCAAGCTTTGCAGGAAAACAATCTGCGAAATTGAATCCGATGGAGAACCCAAGACAGTACGGTTGATTTGTTTGTATTAAAGTTTGTTGTGCGTTGGTGGCTTAGCGGTTAGGACGCTCCTCGACCATGCACATGGTCCGAGGTTCAATTCCCGGCCACCGACACACTCCTTTACCTCGCTAAGCCAGAAATAATGCTGGTAAAGAGGAAAGGTTGGGTATGAGGCTAGCGACCCCATCCTGTAGAACTAACAATGCTACAGAAATTTCAAGTCACTAGCTTGAAGCCCTATGTTCCACTGGGGAACGTAAATGAAAAAAAGTTTGTTGTATGTGGAGTGTTCATTCATTGTACATCTTAAAAGCAACTCTTTCAATTTAACAACTGGAATTCCGATGTGAAACTGTTTTTCTAGTATCTGTTGGCATATGAATTCCACAGTCTCCATAAGTGTTACATTGGTGAAGAGTGACGCTACATCTTAGGATAGCATTTGCTTCCCATTTACATTGATATCATCTAAGTTAGCAATGAATTCAAAAACATCTTTAACAACTTGATTTACCACCTTCTTATGAAGCAGTTGGAGGAGTTAACCTAGCCATTTTGCCACTGCATGGTAGGTGGAATTAGACATGTCTAGGACTTGGCGAAGAAGAAGTCCTCACTTATGTACTTTGCACAGACTTTACAATCGTGAAGTATTACACCAAGTAGGTTTAAGACGGTCGAAGGTTGCCTCTGAGATTACTTCACTTTTTCTCAGCTCCTTAAGCGTGTTTGTTAGCTGCTTTTCAACCATTCCGTCTACATCTGTTGGGTTGTGAAGCTTTTGGAATTCTGTTTTATCCAGTAGAAGCCAGTTGATTTTGTCAACATAATCACACTTATTCATTAGTACTACTCCGGCTCTTTTATCATGTCTATTGATTATGACGTTTTCGTTGTTCTCCAACTTTCTTCCGGCTTCACGATGCTCTTCAGCCAGCAAGCTTTTACTAGAATAAATACTGCTATTATACTGTTGAGAACTGTCAATTGGTGGAGTTTAAAACCGAGCGACTTCATCGTCTGACAATGGGATCAAGTCTCTTGTTTGTAGGAGGAGGTTTTCAAACTGGATATTGGTATCGAGTTGGTTGATCTTATAGCCTTTGTCACAAAATATAGGACCTAATGATGGTGCTTCTAACCGTAATTTATCTGGTGTAACACTTGAAAAATTATGGAAGTATCAATAAGGATGTGAAGGAAAATCCTTTTAAGGATTTCGACTGTCTACTGAATGCATGAAGAAGATCTAATTGAAAACAATATTTCAATTCTGTTACTGTCTGTGGCATACTAGGGCATACGTGGACAATGGCCTGATGTCATCAGAATAATAATAATAATAATGATTTCAAAAGCATATTTCAAGACATATTTTCCTCGGTGTTAAAACATTGTCAAATATAAGGCATCATGCTTCACTTACCTTTAAGTTTTTGTAGTTCTTTTTCTGCCCTTATCACCGACAAAATGATATCCCGTATGGTAACTGTGGAGAAACGAGAATATTTTGTATGACTTGTCAGGTAGGAAGTAAGATCACTGAATGCAAATGTTTAGCGCATAATGGAAATATTTTCATCAAAGAGATGTCTGAAGGAATTTCAGTGAAGCCATTCAGCATACCACTCCAAAAATATATATCTGCTTTACTGTTTCCGCGCCAATCATTCCCAACACTGACATCAAGAAAAACGACGGCTACAACGATTATTGTGAGACTTTTATCATTTATTAAACTATTTTCATGATAAATCTTTAAGTTAATAGAAAAACTTAAATAATACGCATGTCATTTTATTCTTACATTCACTTTCGTGTAGCTTCCTTTGAATTTCAGTTACATCCGTCGATTTGACTTGAATTAAAATGAAGAAATTTAAGCAAAAGTTATTAGTTTGAACAAAGCAAGAACTACAGTTTTAGCAGAATAATATGGTACCATCATTGGTTATTTCGTTGGATTCTCATCAGCTTAACTGCTTACAGTCTAAATAAATTGAGGTTTAAGTACAGACATGTTTTAGGATACTTGCAAATTTTTTTACATGTTGTCAGTTGACGGAAAATTCCACAATTAGTAAACAGCGCTGAGAAGATTGCGCTTATATAGTTTTTAAACAGGCAGTTCAAGTTAAAACAAAATAAATGTATGCAGAAAATGGTAAAGGAGTTACATAATAAAGATGAGATGTGCGTTAGATGCATAGTGACTAGTAAGTTAGGTAACAATGTACTGAGTTGAGCTCAAATCATAGAAACAAGAGACAAGCAAAATTACTGATTATAAAAGGGAGGGTGAGGTTAAAGACAAAGATTACGTAATCAGATGAGAGAAAGAAAGACATCCAGTTACCAGGTTGGCAAGGAAAGACTAATAACTGTTTCTTTCTGAACACATAGATCTGGTTTTAAGAGTTTGATAGAAATTGCTTCAGAAAACTTAAGGTGAATGGAGCTCCTTTGTCTATTGATAATTTTGAATGACTTTTCGACGTCCACCTCATGACCCGTGTCGAAAAGATGCCTGGCGATGGCACTGTTTAAAGCATTTGTTCCCTTTAGACGTAAGCTTTTTGGTAGGTGTTCAGAAAATCGTAGATATGCCCTTCTTTCTGTTCTCCCAATGTAACTACTCCCGCAGATACACGTTTATTATACAGAGAAGTTTCAGAACACGGAAGGTTATCAGAACAATTCCTATACTTGAAATGCATCAAACTGCTCTCGGGAGCTATATGTGTGCCATTTCAGAGAAGAAGCACATCATCTCTAAATGTGTATTCAACCTATTTAAATCTTAGGAAATTTTAGACTGACACATTATCCGAATAGGAGAACATGTCACTGTGCAACTGTGATTATACACAGTTTCTGAATCAGAATAAGGATGAAAGACGTCTCGGTGATTATGCTGCTGGTCACCATCTACCGAGTAAGATGTGTTTGAGATGAAAGCATACATGAAAGTGAGCATTTTGGAGTAGAGGCTCAACCAGAGAGAATGACCCGTGAGAATAAATGGCAAAATATTCAGCAGTCATAATGAATAATGCAGATATTTCGCCAAGGGAAATAAGCCACAAATATTCCATCTTTCAAAGAAATGCTTACCTGCGTTTACGGCTACAAATGCCAACAGAGTGACGAAAGCTATGTGGTTGTATGCAAAGTAGACCATCTTCTTATGTGAACTGACTTTTCGCTTCCTTATTTATACCACAACATACAGTCACAGTTAATGTTGTAATCGTGTGATTGGTTGACTACGATGATCATGAATTCATCGTTCATTTGTTGGAGACTGTGAGTGTTGTGATTGGTGAGTGAAACAACGTATCATAATGTCGGATGATTCATGCAATGAATCAGTGGAATCTGAAAGGTGTAATGAAATCTATCAATCTGCAGAAATACTTCAATCCAAATAGTAAGCAGAATTCATGTCATGGCATCCACATTAAGAAAGCACACTCGCAATGCCTAGCGGAAGATCACATTCGAGGAGTTATGCAGTGTTAATTATCCAGATCACACAGATCCTGGACTTATCGCTGGTTTCAGAAGACTACGTTTAAGACTAAGCTACCACTCTAGAGGGTGATCTTCAATCATGTAAACAATAATTAATGATCTCGTTATGGAGACTTCCATATTATTGAGATACACTGGATGATATGATCTACTCTAATTGATTTCTCTGTGATTACCTTCTCATTGGTTTCACTGCTCCTGTCTGATTTGCTAGTTCTCTTGAGTCATATCCTGTGATTGCTCTTTGTATGTTGACTACAAATTGACATCCTTAAACTATTTCCTACATCACGTACGATATTGAGAATATTTATTATCCTTAATCATGTGTTTTCTTGCGCTTCAACTGTAGCTGACATCAGCTGTTATCTGGGATTTGAACAGAAAAACGCCATGTGTGTAATCTGTGCATCACTCATAAGTTTTTTATTCCACATACGGTTCTTGGATTTCTTAGATATGAACACTGTCATCACTAATAATTTCATGGTCTTTTATCATCCTAATCTTCAGTATTGTCTTCAAAAGAACTCAGTGTATTTACTTGTAGAGCATGAGATTTTCAGTTGACTTCATATTGTGGTGAGAGCAGGCTGCTAGCCGATTGGTTAACACTAATCTACGTTAATGTGTAGGTCACTAATATGGGCCGTGAGAAAATATGAACAAGGCTGATTCAACAACCAATCACAGCAAAGTTAACGTGGCAAAATATGATTCGCAGATAAAGAACTCTATTTGTCAAGGAATCCCGAAACAACCAATCAGAAGCCTGCGTTTGTCTGCAACCAATCAGATGACTGCGCTTTTTCTACTTGAATAAGCTATAATAATGTATGTGAAATATGTATAAATACGTGTTGATTTTCATAAAACGATCTGTTGCCTGGCCCTTGTCTTCTGTTGTTACAATATCTGAGAATATGTGATCAAGTCAGAAATTTGATTATTGGCTGTTCAACTTTGTACAAAGGATGCTGTACACTTAGTTTGTCCTGGATTGTATGTAGCATGTGTCATGTGAAAGTCAACAGTGAATCCGAAGGTGAAATGTTATTCACTTGAGTGACTTACAGAGAAATTATGTTCACTGATTCAACTGTTTTGCATAAAATTCACAGATGATAGAATTCATACACAGTTGTATAATGAGTGTTCCCATTCGGTTCTGAGTATCTTTATTGTGAAGTATTTCTACATTTCTTCAATATTCATTTTGTTTACAATTCGAATATCAATGAACAGTGGGCATGAAGTAAGTGAAGTGAAATATTATAATCTTCAATTAGTTGCAGTATAGTGCTTTCAACGGGAATGAACTATATTTATTGAGTGCAACTGCATGAGACACAGGTTCTGTTTCAGGTACTTTATCGAAGGGTTTATTAACATGAAATCTCAGAAAAGTTTACAGTTCTGTCCCATTGTTTTTCTAGGTGACTTCATTGTAAATACCTCGAAGGCGATTGGCAATAATTTGTTTGCCACTAATCTGCTATCAACTTTTATTATCTCAATTATTATAGCACGATTTTGTATGATTGAGTGGATATTATCTAACTTGTGTTAGTGGTCTCAGGTTGGATAAAACATCATTGGGATGTTCACTGATAATCTGGTGGCCATCATAAATTCGAAGATATTTAGATTGTTGACAGTCCAAGGTTTGTGACGCTTGAGTATCATTTAAAAATGTTGTTTCATTTCATTAGTACACAAAAAGCCATCATTTTGTGCTTGTGATTCAGTCATTTCATGTCTCTACCCAGTGTGTTTGATAGTTTCATCGATTTAAGAAACTGTAGTGGATTTTTTGAAGACACAGAATTTGTTTCCCATTTCTTCACTTATTCTGATTTAGCCGTGTATGAAGCGGATCATTGTCACCAAAGAGATTATATGAACGCTGTAATAGTCCATGGAGATTCACTGACGTCGTAGAATGTTTTTTCGATATAGTTTTGTTCTCTCAGATAGATGGTTTGCTTGCGAAACTTCAATTTACTCAATAGCAACATCTTCAGCCAACATTTTGATTTGTTGAAGTGAGCGCGTTTATCACTTACCGCTCGTGCTGACCTTGAATCTCGTTATATGTTGCCTTTTTCTGTTTCCACACCCTCTGTTCTACTTGTATCCGTTTGCATTGTTTCTTTCACCTGGACATTGATTTTTGTCCATGAGATTCTTTTCTTATGGACTGGGAAATTTATCTGTGTCATTGTGCTGGTTAACTGCCGATTCACTTCAGTACCAGGCTTCTAAAAATCCTCTAACGTTCTCCGTGTTTCCTCTCCCTCTATCGAATCGATGTCCGTGATTGTCTTTCTGCAGTGATATGAGGGAGTGGATATCGTCATGTCTTTCAACGACTAGCTTGTGTTCGTTGATGAGAAGACGAAGAGGCCGTCTTCATTGGCTAATGTGGTGTTTTTCAAATTCGTTGCAATATATTTTTAGATGACGCTGGTTTTGTTCTGTTTTAGCCTTTGAGTATTTTGTTTGACATGGAACCAGCCGAGTAAAATGATTTTATCGGTTTATGTATGACACGAATTCAACGACTAGAGGGTGTGGAAACAGAGAAGAGAAACCAATCGCTCCGAAATTTATCACGAGGAGGTGACTGATGACATTGTAGAGGAATTTCAAAACCCACTTCAACTAACTGACGATGTATCATGGCAAGACAATGGGAGATCCACAAGTAAACCATCCAGTGGAGACACCACAAACATATCAAAACCATCCACGAGAGCTACAAATCGTCTCCATTATATGTTGAAGAATGTTTCAAGAGTTCCTTTAAATTATATTTCATGAAGAACTCTCTATAGAAAGAACATCCACATCTATCTAAGCGCTCATTGTGATGATTAACCCCGTAGAATTGCTTTAGTTTACACTAGAGCTATTGCATTCGCTAGAATTACTTGCAGATGTGATCTAGATTAGCTTTATTTGCCCGTATTCTACAAACAAACAACAGTATCGATCTTCTGTAGTTGGTTTGTAAGGACTAGTTTTGTTTTTACGAGTTGATCACGGATTGAAAGCAGTTAGAGAACCATTGGAAAACCAGTACTGGAGTACTGGCGTCCCCTATATGTATGACAAACAAGGTGAAATTATAAATTCAATATTAGAAAATATTATCATTACTTGGTCTCACATCCACAACACATGATAAGTGTAGAGATCAGAAACTTACTTCACAATAGCAACGATTTTCTTCATGGCAGCTTCGACATATTGAATTCATTGATCAGGGACTTCCTTTCTCATATAACTGTATACATACAAACCACTTATATATAACGGTATCAATGAAAAGACTAACCTCTCCCACTACTCAATCGGCAACCATCTTGTTCTGTAATAAATTAGAAAACTTACGGAGACTAACTAGTAATGCAGGAATAGAAATCAAACAGAGTGGGAGAGATACAACAACGCATTACGAAGTCCTGGCACAAGGTGAGCTGACATTAAGCTGACGAAAAATAGTCATACCTGACCTGATGAATCCAGAGATGGAAGCTCTGGAGCAACCGAAGAATGACAGGGCTACAGTAATCACTAAATCAGACAAAGGAAATGCAAGAGAAATATTAAACAGATCAGACTATTTGGAGAATGCGAATGCCCACATACAAACAGTAGGATATATGAGGAAATTAAGAAATCAATAGACACCGTTATGAATGTGGTTAAGAAATCCACAGCGGTAATCTTATTCGCCGGATGAATTTGTTCCTAGGTGAGTCTAAATATTGTTATTTAATGCTGTTAACTAATAACTTCAGTATGATATATGGTGTTGTTAAAGTCAAGATACCCTATATGTCCCATAGGTGATTCTAAAAATTCACATACATACGAAAAATCCAAATAATTAGCTGTGGTAATAAATCCTCCTGAAAGCCACTCAGAATCTAAACTAACAATTTCTTATGAACTTAAACGCAGATTAGATAAGATGAAATTAGATATTGAGGAAAATATTGTAAGTTTTTACACTGTCAGTTTATGCACACATATAACGATAAGTGTGGCTAGAGAGGCAGTCAGAAACGAACTTAATTCTGACCAAGAATTGGAACGGAGAAAGAAAGTGCCACTGAGGGATATAATGCTGGGGTACAGCTACGGCCAACTTCCACAGTGTTTAAACTCCAGGGGAAAATTTTCAAACAAACTGAGGGAGTTGAAATGGCGTCAGCAATATATACCCGGTTGTGGTAGATATATTCATGGATAGGTGGGCAAATATAGCTATGAGAAAGTTAAGCCCCACCCCAGTGGTATGGTTAATGTATATAGATGACACGTTCACTGTACTTAGAACACAAGATATAGACAGGATTTTCGAAGACATCAACTCGAAGGTGAGACAATTCAAGTCACTTATGAATTGAATATTCAGAAAGCGGAGATTCCAATGTTGAATTGTAGCGTGAAAATGAAAGAGTATAGAAAGTTAGACACATTAGCGAATTTGCAGAAAACCCATACATTCAAAACGACATTTGAATCTTCAATGATCCCACTCTTTGTCGGTAAAAATAGAATTGGTGAAATGTTTAAGTGACAATTAGGCACAAATACTAAGTGGAACCAAAAAATCTAAAACAGGACATGAGGCATATGAGACA